ATAGGGGCTACCAGTGGGAGCATTGAAGAATTACATGGATTTATTAATTTCGCTAACAATTTTCATCCAGCTATTGACTTCACTTATGAAATTTCCTCAAATTCGATGGCTTTCTTAGATATTAAATTTTCTATTGAGGAATTACGGCTCACTACATCAGTGAAATAAATCTACGGATGCTCATACTTACCTCAATTACGCTTCTTCGCATCCACCATCGTGCAAACAGGCCATACCATATTCACAATTTCTGAGACTCAGAAGGATATGTAGTAATGACGAGGACATTAAATCAAAAACCCAAGAAATGGCTGAATTCTTCAATCAATGCGGATATCCCACTGACATCATTAGTAAATCATTGGAGAAAGTGCATACTGTTACTCATGAGGAAGCATTGAATCCAACAGTACGTGACACCACATAACGCACACCTCTGGTTTTAACTTACCACCCTACCTCTAAGAAGATTGCTAAGATTATAACAGACAATCATTATATTTTGGAATCAGACCCAGCCACCAAAGACATTTTTAAGGAGCCTCCTATGATTTCTTATAAACGTGATCGTAGCTTGAAGGACCAGTTAGTTAAGTCAAGATTGAAAGCAATACATCCAGCAGATAATGTAGGCATGACTAGGTGTAATAGAAGTAGATGTAAGACATGTAAGCATGTTGTATGTACGGATACTATCGTAGGACCTTCCAGTAAGTTTTCTATTCGAGAGAAATTTACATGTACCTCTAGTAATGTTATATATGCTATTTTTTGTGTTAAATGTAATAAGGTTTATATAGGAGAAACGAAAAGGAGGCTTAGAGATAGATTCGTTGAACATTTGCGCTCTATCAACCTTAACACTTCAGGTCTTCCTATAGCTGAACATTTTAATGATAATCATGATATTAATAACGATATATTAGTTACCGGTATCAAACAATGTAATTCATCTGAATTTAATCGTAGACGTTTGGAGGAGCGTATTATTTTTCAACTAGGTACTTTGAAACCTCATGGACTGAACGTCTCATTTAAATCTTTCAGAGATTAATTTGTTGTTTTATTTATCTTGCTATGATGCATTCTGTGACCATTATACTATGACTTTTATTTTGCCTTTGATTTTTTTTTTTTAGACCTATGTCATTACACGCCTTCTAGGCGTAGCTGTTTGTATTGTCTTACTATGTTCATTGTTTCACTATGCCGCCAGTACCGCCGTTTAGGCTTTACCGATGCCACCGCTTCTTTTGTATATGTTCTCCATATAACCCTGTTCATTCCACTATCCTATCAGTACCTGATGATGACCTATGGTCGAAAGTACTAGTACAATAAATATTTTATTTTTGAGACAGATACAGAACTTTGTTTGACTTCTTATTTTATATATACAAATCTGTCTATGCAGCAACTCTTTACAGGAACGGTATTATCTAAGCGTCTTCTAATGCTGACTTTTGTAGCTCTAATTACAACATAAACACACAAGGTAACTAATTCAAGTATTATTGATTTTCTATAGTTTAAGTTAAACACAGATATAATATATTTTATCTCGGTAGATACTGGAATCAGCGGCGGCTGCTCAGAATACAGTACAAAAGGTTAGAAGACGAGGGTCCGCCACCAATTGACGGCGTACAGATTCGATATGACGCGTTTATCTCCTACAATAGCAAAGACGTTGATTGGGTACTGAAGTCAGTCCTACCGACACTAGAAGGTCCCGAGTTCAACTTCCGTCTCTGCGTTGACTTCCGAGATTTTGTAGTCGGTGAAGCAATCGCTGACAATATTTCTAATGCTATTAAATATAGTCGTAAAATGCTAATAGTTGTCACCAAGAACTTTGTTAAAAGTGAATGGTGTTATTTTGAAATGGAAATGGCAAGGACCCGTATGTTTGAAAATCACGAGGACATTTTTGTGGTTGTAATTTTAGAGCATGTGGCGAGTAGAAAGATACCAACATTACTTCAGAAGATCTTGAGAAAGAAGACTTACATCGAATGGACGGATAATCCAGATGGCCAGAAGGTTTTCTGGACACGATTGGCAGCAGCTTTGAATACTCCGAATGTTCACCGCGATCGTCTTATAACCTAAAAGTTCTATTTTAGAAACCAAACGTTCATGTAAATGATAATAGCGAAGAAATAAATGAAAGTCACGCGCCTACTTTTTGCAAAAATTTAGTTTTATCTTCAGCAAAAGCTCAAGGAATTGATTCTTGTCCATATTTCTGAGCTCATCGCAGTTAATACTCCACATAAACATCCCCTCTAATATCAATATAAGCTTGATCAAACCCAAACATTTGATATTCTTCATTTGTTATGAAACGTTGGCTTTAAAACGCGCTCGAAGGCGTGAGTACGTCTTTATAACTATAAAAACAGGTTTTTACTCGTTTCTAATTAATGAACCAAAATATTTTTCGTTTATTGTTTTGAGTTTTGTTGTCAAGAAGCATAGGCCTACCTATATGCTGTCTCTTATACACATCTAGATGTGTATAAGAGACAGCCATTATACTATGACTTTTATTTGCCTTTGATTTGTTTTCTTTTTTTTAGACCTATGTTAAACATTGAAAAAACGTTGTACTATCATTGAAAGTTGACTTGCGGAACACAAATTTGTTAAGCTATAACAAAATCAAACGGATATTTCGATAGCTCCTGCTATCTTCATCAACGTTAAAGTGAGAAAACTTGGGAGATCTTACATATACATAAAGAACAATAAAACAATCAGAATCAAGTTATCAATACAATTGGTTGATTGGACCTGTTATTGTTTACTGTAGTTAAATAAGTCTTAGCAATAAGCTGGTTCAATGGCACCGCCAATAAACTATCGCTTACATAATCATTTTGCCGACATCTTATCATGGTTTAATTGTAATTTATTCGCCCATTAACTTGTCACTGAACTTATATTTTGTGGTCCAATCAACTAATTGTATTGATTGGACCTGTTATTGTTTACTGTAGTTAAATAAGTGTTAGCATTAAGCTGGTTCAATGGCACCGCCAATAAACTATCGCTTACATAATCATTTTTCCGACATCTTATCATGGTTTAATTGTAATTAATTCGCCCATTACCTTGTCACTGAACTTATATTTTGTGGTCCAATCAACTAAGCCTATATTGTAGGCCTATAATAATTTTTTACTACTGTGGTAAAACATAGGCTCAAATACAGTTTATGTCTGACAATGAAATGCGTACAACGCGTAAAATAAGATACGTCATATTTAATATTTTTCATATTTTGATATTCATATTTACGGTTTTGTGAAGCTTCAAACACTGAGCATGCGTGAATAGAGAGAACACCAACTTCGTGCACACAAGGAGAATATAGTTTTTAATGACGGATTAAATTGCCATCTAGTATAATATTACCTCCAAAAAGACAACCAAACATCAATTAAATCAATATTTGAAGTGAATATGGCAAGCAAAACCAGAATGAGCGCAAAATCTAATGACTTAACAACCCAGTGGAGTCCAACGATGAGGATCTCGCCCCTGGACAGCTGGACGAAACGTTAGCCAGTCAACTAAGCAAACTGTCAGACCAACTTAACGGTAAGCTGGACAAGGTCCTAGTAATCCAAAAGGCATATAACAAAAGGCTTACCAAACTAGAAAAATCATACAAAGACATAGAAAAATCAACTAAATTTGCTATTGAATCTGCAAATGAAACAAAAGAATATATAAGGCTAATGGAAAGTAAAATTAACAAAATGGAGGACTACAAAAATAAAATGGCGGCTTCTAAGAAAAAAATGGCGGAAATAGAGAGTGCACTTATAAAGCAGGAACGATAATTGTAGGAGCTTCAATCTACGATTTGGAGGAATTAATGAGGATCCCAATGAAAAAACACTTGACAAATTACAATCCCTATTACGAGATGATCTTGGTCTTAATGACATTACAATCGAAAATTGTCTTCGAACGGGCAAACGTCAAGTGGATAAACCGAGACACATTAAAGTTCCTCTATCGGCCGCAGAGAAATAAAGTACTGATCGAAGGGAAAGCAAAACTCAAGAAAAAACATCAAAAATATATATAACGGAAGATTTACCTGAGGCAGATGTTAAGAAAAAAACGAGAATTAGCTGGAATCATGGCCCAGGCTTACGCTGAAAAGAAAAAACCCATCTTCCGAAACGGCCAGCTTTTCATCGACGGTAACCCCTACAAGCTACCACTAAAATAAACTAATGAGGCAAATTAAAATTCTAAGGAATAAAAAAGAAAATATTGTACGTTTACTTTTACATACCGTGACTGGATATTTATATATTTCTTATATTTGCAACTATGCTTGCGCTGATAGTCACGGGAGACTGTATACAGGAATGGCATGATGTCTTGTTACTCTATTAAGGTATTTCATTCTCTATGTTTACCTTCTTGTCATAGAAAGGAGATTCCTTCCCCATATTTCCATTCCACAAAAATAAAACTTGCTCTAATACAAAAAGGACAATGTTACTTTATTGGTGATTCAGCCATATTATAATGTTTCTTAATAGCAGCAATTTTACGTCATGCCATATTTACAATCGGCATAAGCATAGCTACCCAGTATTTTCTTACTTAACTTTTAATTACGTCACTACTGTAAATAAGATACTGGAGTGATGACGTCATATTTCACTGCAAGTCTGCAACATTTGTCTTGTTTTATTGTTTTCTTGCACCTGAGCTAAATAACCCGAACGGCTTTCATCAGGCATATTACCTGTTTTCTGGTTCTATCGACCAGCTTTTCAAATGACAGGTGCGTCGGCCCGGTGACTCTGACGCTTGGTTATTCTTGGCTTGAATTAGTGACAGTCACTACGGTATTAAGTTAGTTTAATATTTTCCTAATTTCTCCAAGTGAACATGTTGTAGGCTCAGATTTGAGTTCTTATCATTAATCTTTCGGTTTTATTTTTTTTATTTTGTTATACTTTGAGATATTGTATATCATTAATATGATCGATTTAAATAATGATGACCATGATGAAAACATCGAAGAAACTAAGTATTACCAGATTGATGATTTCAATCGTAGTTTTAGTATTCATTCAAAGATGATTATTTCTCTATACTAAGCCTAAACTGTCGCAGTATGGTAAACAAGTTTGACGACATTTTACAATTGGTTTCCTCTTTAAATCATAATTTTTCAATTATAGCATTAGAAGAGACATTGATCTCAAACAATTGTACAATGTCATTATATGAAATCCCAAATTTTACGTTTGTTCACAAAGACAGGGTAAGACGTAAAGGTGGCGGAGTCGCCCTATACATATCGGATAAACTAAGTTTTGAAATACGTGGTGACCTTCCATTGATATTGTCCGAAGCTGAATCTATATTTATTGACGTTAAAGTACATAATAAGATAATATCATGTGGTGTTGTATATAGACCCCCTGATACAAATGAACAAACCTTCACTGAACAGTTATCATTAGTTATGCATACAATAAATAATGAAAATAAAATAGCATACATTAGTGGGGACACCAAATTAGATATAAGCCAACACATGACAGATAGCAATATAGCTTCTCACCTAGACAATCTTCAATCTCAGTCTTTTTCCTTTCTCATAAACAAACCAACGAGAATCACAGAAACTACTGCTACCATAATAGATAATATATTTTTCAAACTCCTATCAAACACATTCCATTAATACTGAAATCATTTATTCAGACATCTCTGATCATTTCCCCATATTTTGTATAGACACATCCGAAAAGAACTACAAAAATAATGACAATAAATATGTATTTATACGTAAAAATACAAAATATAACAATGATTTTTTTAAACATGAACTACAAAAGCAAAAATGGGAAGATGATTTAAGTTCAAATAACGCAAATCAAACGTATGGAAACTTCTCTAGATCATTACAAACATTGATTACACACATGATAAACGTTTCACTTACAACCGGTTGTTTCCCTGATGAATTAAAAATTGCGAAACTATACCCGTATTCAAAAGTGGCGATAAACATAACATTGATAATTATCAACCCATAACAATCTTACCCTGTCTTTCAAAAATATTCGAAAGAGTGGTCTACGATCAGACTATTTCCTTTCTTAACAAATATCACATAATAAACAGTTCTCAATATGGTTTTCGGCAACAACACTCTACAATTCACGCCCTATTACAAACCATAGGAGAAATAACGTCAGCTATTGAAAACAAATCATTTATTATAGGTGTATTTTTAGACTTATCAAAAGCATTCGATACGATTGATCACAAATTACTTATTGAAAAAATGAAATATTATGGATATTATGGCATACGGGGGGGGGGGGTGTATTAGATTGGTACAAAAGTTACTTAGCCCACAGAACAAAATATGTTGCTATAGAATCTGGGGAATCCGTAAAAAGAGAACTGACTCTTGGTGTTCCGCAAGGATCCATACTTGGTCATCTTTTGTGCCTATTATTTATTAATGACATTTTTTTGGTGTGCAAAGATATAGAACTCATCATCTTTGCGGATGATACCAATATGTTTCTAAAACATAATGAACCTACATATGCATGTGATATGATGAACTATGAATTACACCGCCTGTCAGCATGGTTTATAGCAAATAAGCTGACAGTCAACACCAAAAAAAACCAAAATATATCATATTTAGAGGCCGAAATAGTACATTTCAGTTTACTAATGTACAATTATCAATTAATAATTCTGTACTCGAAAGAGTAACTCCTATAAAATTTCTAGGTGTTAATCTTGATGAATTTCTATCATTTCATAACCATATTGATGCCATCGCAAATAAAGTCTCAAAGGTAATAGGAATCTTCAATAAATTGAAATATTTTTTACCCTATTCAATAATGTCACAAATATATAAATCCATAATTCTCCCCGACTTAACATACGCAATAATGTACCGCGACGAGTGCTAGGCCCCTAATCACAATTCGTCCAACCATGTATGGAGGTAATATTTATAGTATACGCACCTTTACAGAAGTGTGCTGTGACGATATTCGATGGGGAATAATGACGATAATGAAGTATAATACAACTGGGTAAACTGCTTAACTACGTACTTTAATAACTAAACTCAAGATGGCTGACTAACCATGCCATGCCGTACAACGTCTGGTGATCATTAACTAAATGACTTATTAACACTGGGGGCGCTATACCCTTCTAGCGATGGTACTGGTTATTATCATTACACCCCCTTTACTGAAAGATAAATTCCAGTCACTATTGCAATAGAGGTTTGGTTAGAAACAAACTGGTATGACAAGTCAATTATGAATATATTAAGGCATGAGCATATGGAACAAAACATAAACTTTGAATGACTTCTGACTTTAAAAGTATGGGGTGTTTTAAAAAGATTAATAGCAATAAAATGGAATAAAAAGAAATAACAGAAACTTTCACTTGTCTAGATTATCAGTTCAATTATAACTATCAGTTCAAAAGTCAAGCATAGTCAAACATGCAATAATGTTTAAGAATCATTTGTTTGCAAATCTCGCAGGTTTCCTAATATGGCGACTACTTCTGCGTAGGATAAATGCATCAGACAATTCAACATCGTACGATCTTGGCTCACTTCGTTTCTTTAACACTGTCGCAGGTTCCCATTTGCGTAGATTTGCTTCATTGTTAATTACTCTAACACTTTCCCCCTCTTTTTGGGCTTGCGACTGTTTCGCGTGTTTATCATAATAGCGTTTTTGTGTTGCTTGACGGTCAGCGAGTGCGCTATCGACTTCGCTAAGACCGCCAGAGATTCGCATTGGCATGTTCGACTTGTAGACTCTTTGGTTCAAGATTTCCGCACGAGATGGGAGTCTACTGTCGGTAGGCGTTGATCTGAGTATCAATAGAGCGCGTTGTGGGCCTTCCTTAGATTCAGTAGCTTTCTTTAGCGTATTCTTTACTGTCTGTACTTGGCGCTCGATGAATCCATTTGATTGACTATATCGTGGTGATGTCTTGACATGAGTAATGCACCAACTTTCTGCAAATTGCTCAAACTCGTCGGAGTCAAATTGCGGACCATTATCACTGACAATTTCATCTGGGGTATCGTGTTCTGCAAAAACTTCTCTTAACACGTTGATGACTGTTTTAGCTGTAGTACCGCTGCGTAGATATTTGACGATTGGAAACTTTGAGTAATAATCGCAGAGAATGAGGTAATTGGAACCATCAAGGGCAAACAAGTCTACTCCTAACTTTTTCCACGGTCTGGTAGGTATTTCATGCTCTTTTAACAGGATTATGCGTTCTTTGTTAAGGGGGATGGATGGTGTAGTAAACTACATTGATGACATATTAATCTATTCCACAATTTGGGAGGAACATGTAAGGTCTATTGAAGAGTTATTTTGCAGGTTACGGGGTGCAGCATTGACTGCTAGACCAAGTAAATGTTTTGTGGGACAACAACAGGTTGAATTTCTCGGTTATGTGGTCGAAAATGGTATGTTACTTCCAAGGGCCAAGAAAATAGAAAGCATTCTAGGTATTAGTCTTCCAACAGCAAAGAAACAACTTAGGTCGTTTTTAGGAGTAACAAATTATTACAGGAAGTTTGTGCCGAATTACGCAACCATCGCAACACCCCTTACTGATTTAACAAGGAATAAGGAACCGGAAAAGTTATGTTGGGAGCAACAACACGAAAATGCCTTTAGGTTACTGAAGGAGAGATTAACTAACTACCCTATTTTACATCTTCCAGATCTAACTAAAGGTTTCATTTTTAGAACAGATGCATCTGACATAGGGCTAGGGGCAGTTCTGCTACAAAAAAAAGTAAAGAAAAATTCCCGATTGCGTATGCCAGTCGAAAACTCATTTCAAGGGAGAAGAACTTCTCGACGATCGAAAAGGAATGTTTAGCGATTGTGTGGGGGATTAAGAAATTTGAAACTTTCTTATATGGGCGTCAATTTGTCTTAGAGACAGATCACCAACCATTAACGTATCTAAAAACAAGTAAAGTTGCAAATGGTAGATTAATGAGGTGGGCTCTTGCCTTGCAGCCTTATACATTCGTCATTAGAGCCATAAAGGGAAGTGATAACGTTGGTGCAGATCTACTCAGCAGATTGTAGATGGGTTTAAATCTAAATGTTAACATGTAATAGGGTTTACATTGGAAATAAAAGTGATTTGAGATACGGAAGTGTTAGTGTTTTGATATATATTTCTGGGTGCCAAAGTATTATAATAATTTGCTTGAGGAAGGGAGAAAATGTGAATTTGAGTGTGTCGTCCTGGACATGACGTTAAAAGGTATCCAAAAAGAAGAGTTTTTTTTCAGTTTGAGGAAGGGATGTTTGAGTTCGTCGTCCTGAACATGACGTTAAAAGGTATCCGAATAGAAGTGTTTTGTTCGTTTTGAGGGAAGCTGAATGTTTAGTTGAAAAGCCAAACTCTGAATTTAGTTCGATCGAAGAATGCAAGAAATTGGTTGTTTTGATTGTTAGTTGTGACAAGTTAAAAAAAATAAACAAAACTTTGCTTAAAAGAATGTATTTGGTTGAAAGGTGTAGAAGAAATGTGTTTGATGTGGAAGGATTGGTGAGTAAGGGAATGTTGTGGGAAAGAGAAACCTATATTATTTTTTTGTATGAAAAGGGTTATTTGTGACAAAATTAATATATATGGAAATGGTGTTATATTTATTGTATGTTTAAACAAGGAAATGCTAATTTGAGAAGAAATGTACACTGTAATTGTTAAGTAAGAATATTAAGAGTTATATTGTTATAATGGTTAATTATGATAAAATTGTTAAAGTGACAGTCATGTTTAAAATAATAATTAAATATGATGTAGAAAATTATTCATTCATTCCTGAAAACTGCTAAAGTACAATGAAATTCTTAAATAGGGTGTTGTCACCATATTTAGGATATTTCATTCTACTTTGCAGCACTGCTAACTGAATCGTGAACTAATGAATATGCATAGTTGTATGACTCAAGTTAAAACAGTCTGTGAATGGAAATAAGTTACATGAATATTAATGAGGTTAAGGCAAAGTGGCAGTGTAGGATTCGTGCATTTAAGTGGAGTGTAAAAGTATGCAAATGTATTTAAAATGGTTAGTTTAAAGGTATCTAGCCAGGAGTTGAAGAGAGAATATCTTAAAGGAAATATGTGGACTGAGGAGTGTCGGTTAAAGGACATATCAGTCGAGGCACATTTTAAGGTAAAAGTACAAGGCTTATATGTAAAAGCTTAAAGTAATTATACGTGAGTGATAGCTGAAGTAAGAGAGCTTCACAGTATTTTTGAATCAAGAAATGAAGTAAAGAATTGACCGTGAGTACTGTTAATAGTTGATAAATCAGAATATCTACATATTGGCATATAGGGTAGTAGTACTAATAGTGCATGTATTTTGATATGTTATGGGAATACTTACCTTCAATATGTATATACATATATAGATATATGCTATGTATAATATGTTAAAGCGTATTTTGATAGAAAAGAAATACCATTAGCATACCATTTTATATAAATGTTGTATTCATTTATAGATGGTCGGAGGAGGTAGAGCCAAGTAGCCTATACCCAAGATTTATGTACCAAATATACTAAAGTGATATTGCAGACTGAGGGTAAAAGCCCTAGCAGTTAGCAAGACTTAGTAGATGATCTGTACTTCGAATGCACTATTACAGTGATAAAGATTCTAGGAGGTAGCACAATACTTTTTCATTGGATATGCAAAACGAACTTTTATTTATGAAGCGTTCATTTGTGCTTAGACCTCATGCTCCATGGTATTTGTGCGACCACCATAAAATGAAGGTTGAACGCCGACGTTTAGAACGCAAGTGGTTGAGATCTGGTCTTTTGGTAGATAAACAACTGTATCAAGGCCAATGTACCAAATACAACGAACATCTTTGCAAAACGAACGTCTTGCACAAGTGACTTTTCTCATTTTGTTGCTGTCTCTGAAGAGGAAGTTTTGGAGGTTATAATATCATCTTCAATTACCTCATGTTCTCTCGACCCACTATTATAACTGAACTTGTGAACACTTCCTTGAGCTCAGGTTTATTTCCATCTTCGCTTAAGCATGCCTGCATTACTCCATTGTTGAAAAAGCCATCATTGAATGCTGAAGAACTTTCAAATTTTCGACCTATTTCCAATCTTCCATTCCTTGGGAAGGTCATCGAAAGGGTGGCATACAATCAGCTGCAATCTTATCTTAACAGCAATGGTTTATTCGCTTCTAGACAATCGGCCTATCGACCAAATCATAGTGTGGAATCTGCTCTTCTTTATGCCCAGAACGATATTCAGATTGCACTTGATAACCATAATGAGGTTTTAATGGTCCTTTTGGATTTTAGTGCTGCTTTCGATACCATCAATCATAAGCAGTTACTAAACCGTCTATCCTCGCGCTATGGTATCTCTGGTATCGCCCACCAATGGTTTGCATCATATCTAGAGAATAGGTCTCAGTCTGTTGCTATCAAGGATGTTATGTCAAATCCCACTTCACTTACATTTGGTGTCCCCCAAGGCTCGTTTGTTTGGCCAATTTTATTTATTCTATTTACAACTCCGCTGCTCGAAATTATTGCTTCACATGATGTGAAGTGTATGTCATATGCTGATGATACGCAGCTCTATGTTATTTTCCATCCAGATCAGCACGATGCTGCTGTCAGTAGACTAGAATTGTGCATAGCCAAAGTTCGATCTTGGTGTCAGTCCAACAACCTTATAATGAATGATGCAAAAACTGAACTCATTCGTTTTTCATCATGTTTTAAGCCTGCTCGCTGGACTCCTTCTATCAAAATAGGAGATGCATTCATTGAGCCTTCGCTGTCCTGTAGAAATCTTGGGAGTTGTTATGGACTCTTCCCTTAGTATGTCTAATCAGGTACACAACATCTGTAAAGCTGGGATTCAGTCAATTCGTAGAATTTGGAGTATCCGGAAGTATCTTGATCCTAGATCAACTGAGATTCTCGTTCATGCTTTTGTAACATCAAGGCTGGATTGTTGTAACTCATTGCTTTATGGATTGCCAGCTAAGGATATTTCAAAACTTCAGCGAGTTCAGAATGCAGCTGCCCGTTTGGTCACTTTAAGCCCAATTAGGGATCATATTACTCCTGTGTTGAGGCACCTTCATTGGCTTCCTGTAACACAGAGAATTACTTACAAGATTTTATTATTTGTTTTCAAAGCACTTCATAATTCCTCGCCAATGTTTATTTCACAACTCATTCATCCTTACATTCCTAAGAGGTCTCTGTGATCTAGTTCAGAGTCTCTACTTGCTCATTCCACTCGCTCGTCGACAAAGCATTATGGTAGTCGTTCTTCCTCTTTGGCTTCTGTCTTTCTTTGGATTGCTCTGCCCAATAAAATCCGACAGGCAACTTCCATTGATGATTTTAAGGCAGCTTTAAAAACTCAACTTTTTAACTTGTATTTTTCTTATTTTTTTTCCCCGAATTTTGTTTTTACTGTTAAGCGCATTGAGGCTTTAGCATAATGCGCTATATAAGCCACAATTATTATTATTATTATTATTCGGCTTTGGTTTTAGCTGCTTAAGTAACCGATTGACAACATATCTAGGAAAACCATTCCATAGCATCATCTTCTTGATTCTTTCAATTTCACTGGTAAAGTATAGCACAGGCGAGCATATTCTCTATGCTCTAGATAAAAGGCTACGAACCCAAAATATTTTATGAGTCCATGGAACAAAGCTATAAAAATGAATATATTGACCAGTATGTGTTTTCTTACGATACACTCCTATTTCACCATTGGTTGTGCATGTTAAATCAAGAAAATTAATGTTACAGCATTCAAATGTCTCGTCAAAAGTAAAGTTAATATTCTGGTGGAAATATTTGAGTGAGTTAAGTACTAGTGGGACATCGGAAAGCTTAGCTAAAACAAGAGTATCATCAACAAATCTAACATAGAATTTCAATATAACATTAGCAACAAGATTAGGAATAACTTTTTTTCTTAAGTTCTGTCATAATAATATTGGCTAGGACTGGGCCCAACGGTGACCCCATAGAGACGCCATCAGTTTGCCTATCTTTGTTTGTGAGTCTCCTTCTGTTGAGATATTTAAAAATCGTGTCAAGACTCATCTCTTTAGTATATTTTAATTTGCAAATTTCTAGCTCATAGAGACCTATGTATTTTGCGCTTTACAAATCAAAATTGTTATTATTTATTATATAATGTGTTATCTTAATAGTTTACGAAGAGTATTCTTTTTTGTTTTGTTCTGAAACGAAAAACTGGTGAAACATGCCATTAATATCAGCCTGGATTGCTACTCTTTCTTTTATAAAACGAGATAGGACTCTTAATAAGGCATTCACCAAGTCTGCACCTTAAAGGTAGTAAGCATTCATTAAGGGATGTTCAAGCGTATTCTGCTGAACAATCGAATACAACTCTAATTTGATCTCGTTTTTTGGGGGTGATAAACACCATGATGACGGACGTATTTAATTGTACTATTATCCAAATTAATTTCGTTATCAGGCACTTTTTCAACACAGTTATTCAGTACACCATGCATAAACGTTACATAATCCTCTTTATACTTGGGATTATGTTGAAATTTGAGTTTTAACTAAGTTTTTTAACAGCCATAGTTCTATCGTTGGGCATGCTAACACTAGGCATTTTTCGTTTTGACTACGCGGCCAGTCTACTACGAACTAATGGAGCGTGACGGCAACGCCAAGACACTGTTCGCGTAGTAGACCAATAGAGCTGTTTTCGTTTTTTTTAAAGGCGACTACGACGACGCAGCACACACGTACGCCTACGGAGGGGAGTTAGTCGACCATGGTTTTATTACCAGAGAACAATGTTCCCTTGTTTTATATTTGAAAAGGGAAATGTGAAAAAAAAACTTTAGCCAAATACTGTATACAAAATTAAAAGTTTCCAGTAAACACTGAGTGATGTTTCGCTGTTGGCTAGGATCTAGACCTACCAAGGCTACGCTAGGCCAGCCTAGCCTAGGCCCTAGGTGTCAAAAGAGTCGTTACCGGGAGAAGAGGGGTGTCAGGCCTGCTCAGGCAATTTGCCAAATGCAACGATGATGTACAAATAAATAACAATTTTAAACAGGTATTTTAATTTAGCAAGACTTGATTCACGATATCAAGGGCGGATGCCCTAGCTAGCGGCACCAGATAATGCGTTTTCTCCTACCCGAAATCCACCCTGACAAGGCTAGGCTAGCCTAGGCCTAAGGCTCTTTTTTCACTATCCCCTGATTTACCTAAATTTATGCTGTGACTATTCATTCCTCATTTATTGCATGTGTATAAATAGGCCTTTATATAAAACATTTAATTACTCACTTGTTTTAATAATTAATTCATTATAAACGAATAATGCTCGATCGCGGATGCGATGAAAATTGCAACCCCCAACAAAAAAGTTACCAGCAGTTTACTAAACAATCCGGTGATCTGATTGGTCAGTATTAGGGTAGTCGCCACTACGCCAAATTTAGCCAGTAAGGTTTGTGAGCATGCGCAGATGTCTGTTACGCTCTATTAGTTCGTAGTAGACTGGCCGCGTAGTCAAAACGAAAAATGCCTATTACTACGCAAAGGCAGTGGCATCTAATAATGACCATCAGAACGTCTAACAATATTATCATCCATGATATTCATGAATTTCAAATCATCTGTAGACATAGTATGATGTTGGGTTTAATTGTAATCTGTAAAAGCAAGTTCATACATAGATAGAATCATTTCTTTACCCGATTTTTGACTCACCAACCGATCCTTTGGCGTGATACTACAAGGTTCATTTGAACCAATAATTCTGTTTGCAACTACTACTTCAGGATCTTGCTGGAAAATAGTTCCAACAATTCCCCTATCACCTTTGGGTGCATTGTTGCCAATCAACTAGCACACATCGATGTTAGGCATATAAGGCGAAATGTTGCCAGTAATTCGTTTAAGGTGGTTCCATTTCTAAGCTGTGCTTGGAGTTGGTGTCTGTGCTCTGTCTACTGGGCTTTTCCTCGTGAGTACACGTTAGGCAAAGGGGTGACTGTTTTCCGGTCGAAACTAACGACTTCCAAGTGCTTTAATGTCTTACATGCTATCAAGGACGACTGGTAGTGTATAGTGGATACCTGCAGGCGTGTATCCTCTCCTACAACCCAAAGCTTCTTACATACGTAACATACGTAATTCCTTTTGAGGATTTAGTGAATTAATTTAACTACACTGGATCATCGAATTATCAGTAACTGTATTTTTTATTTCATACGGTAACGCAATGAGAGGTGCTTGCATTGTTATGTATGTGTAAACAAGATAGATGACTGTAACCACAATGCTTACACTTGACAATATTATTACAATTGTACCTTTTATGCTCTTTGGACATACCGTAACCATAACATATCTTCTCATCCATGAAGAACCGTCTCTGTCGCGTCGAGGCATCTTATCAAAGGCACTACAGGCATCTATGTGATGCTCATCCTGGCAGTACAAGCACGTCAACTTAGCCGTAGTAGTGAGAGTGTGAGCTGGGGGTTTTTTACGGGTTTGAGGTTTTCGATAGTCTGCTTTCACAGGTGGCCGAGTTATGGGTGTGATAGGTTGATCGAAGACAGGAATATTGGCTTCTTTGGCTCTCATCCGCAAAAATTGTGCAAAAACTAAGAAACTTGAAAAGAACCATTATCATTCATGTGTGATTGTACTACTTTTCTCCACTTGCTCTTAATATAACATGGAATTTTAACAATGGACTTGACATTTTCTGTGGGTAATCTAACACCCCTAAGTCGGGAATTCTTTGCTAAGAAACAAGAACTTTATTTAGAAAATCAGAATAAGTTCTTAAAGCTTTAGCATTAATATGATTAATCTTCGGCCAATTCTCAAGTCTGGATAAATAGGCTTTGACACAACCGCATTATTTCCATACCTATCCCTGAGTTCTTACGAGCAAGATGATACGAATTTTCGGACTGTAGTAACAAATCATTACCTATCATATTTTGCGGCTCACCATTTAAATGCTGCCCAAGCAAATTTAATTTCTCGTGAATCGGCACTGCTTTAGATTCTATTAAAGATGTAAATGATGCCTCCCACATAGGGAACTTCAAAGGGTCACCATCAAATTGTCAACATGTATGGCAGGCAAACGGAGTGAATCAATCAATTCTTTCATCATAAAGGTATCTGTAGAACCTTGAGTTACACCAACATTATGAGTCGTATGAGAAGGCATATAATAGTCAGGATATTGTGTATTGTTAGCATACATAGGTATGAAATGCTATCGTTACTTGAGTTGTAGATCTATTAACATTAATCGTAGAAATATTGGGATATGGATCAATATTTGGAAGAAAGGCTTGACATGTTGGTTGATGCTTGAACGCTGACACAGGAGGATGATGCACTGAAACAGGAGGATGAGATGCTGAAACAATAGGATTTGGGGCATTAATAACAAAAACTTGATTAGGCATTGTGAACCATGAAGGTACATGCTTGGCCCAACAAGTGTAGACCGACTCACTTCCGTCAACACAGAAGATACATTGCTTGCTGCTATGCCGATTGTTTCCAAATACTATGCGTATCAAAACACCTTGATTTTGTCCATCTCAAAACACTTTGACTTCTTCCATATCAAAACACTTTGATTTATTGTAACGGAGCCTACACTCCGGTAATATTGTAGAGCCCACACTCCTTTAAATGCAACAAAGACGATGATTCACATACAGCTACAAAGCAAAATAAGTTTAGCTGATCATGCTTTAATACGGTACTTCTGCATACAGCAACAAATTATACAATAATAAAATAAAGTAACAAACTGAATAGCTGATAAATCAAAGTGGTCTTTCAAGTATAATAAACATAACAAATGTATGTAAAAAAAGAACCGTTTTTATTAGACATCATATATATGAGTTAACACAACACCTTGAATTTCATGTCTGCATAATTAGTTACACGGAGCCTTCACTATGTGAGGTTATTAGAGGTTACTCAAGCATGCATACAGACAAAAAGTACAATAAGTTTTAAACGTACAACAATATAGCCTATCACTGTGAATCTGCAATTAAAAATTCTAACAGTACATATGATGAAGGTTGGCGACAGGATTTTGCCCAACGGGGGTACGATGTTTCTGTCAAGAGCAAAGTTCGCATTGTCAGGCATCGCCTAAATCCTTTTGAAATTGGTCCTAGTGGGGGTAGTAAAGCCCCAAAAAACGTTGGATGAGTTGAAATTAGTAAACAAAAAAAGGATATCAAGCAATAGACACGCCCCACTTAGGAGTCTATACTTTCAGTGTGTGTTCGATTTCAATTTAACAAAGGAATTCATTACGCCACCTGTCGACAGTGATCATTTATACAGTTCACGGGAAAATGTGCATCGGCAAATCTGAGTTTTTGTCTAAACAAATTAGAATTTTGTCGAGACAAAATAGCAGTTATCATTGATGTAAACTATTCGGCTGATGACCATCTGGCGCAGTGAGTGCCAGGCTTAATACAGTTTTAGGATGTACTCATAAACTTGAGCATAAACAATTCCCTTTACGATTTTCAATAAAAAAATAAGCATACACAAATCTGTTAGTTACGACACTCTGTTTTAATACTTTTTTCCCCACAGGAACAACCATAGCTAACTTTAAGTAATGTAGTACTTTTCCGAGTTCAATGCAATAGATAAGTATAGACTATTATGGATTTTGCAATTACTTCAGCAGCTGCATAATTAAATAGGCTTATTTTGCTCGTATTCGTCAGCATTTATTACATCATATATCGGATCCGAATAAACGACGTTGAAGTCAAATCTAGAGTGATGCTCATTTTTCTCATTCGGGGCGTTTCTGGCTGCAGAACCATCATCATTGTGTAAAGCTTTGCTACTGTATTCCGCAGAATTCAACAGAAATGTTTTGTTCTGATGCATCTGATACTGGTGACGATCTTGTCCTTTCTAAATGAGTAGAATAAACAATATTTTTTTTTATTTGGAAGTAAAGAAATTTCTCTGTGGTCCTCTTTTTCAATAAACTTTCTCTGGTTAGGCTCTATAGTTACCAAATAGCGGGAAGTAAGAGTATTTTTGGTGTGAATCACACCCAAGCATAACACAATAATTCCGAAAACATATCTCCAGTGAGGTACTTCGGAAGACAATTCTCTTCTTTTTCCCAAGCACTTTACGTTTTAGTTTAACGTACACATGAGCCATATTGCACATGGTTAAACAACTTTAATACAATAAAATCCAATGACATTATAATATTTCCATACTTTATTAATTTTGAGTTGAAATACGTCAATACTTACACGGATGCAGTGGCATATTAGACAAGTTGGAAAAGAACCAAGAATAAATGCTGTAACTGCGGTAACGGCAAGAACCGTGTAAGTGTATATCTTAAACGGAAGACCTATAAAAATATACAGTGATGATGCTTCTTGTTCTAAATATTATAATAATTTAAATACAGTAATCCAATAAGCACCGCTATTGAGTATTGCGCCGAGGCGTTTAATAAAGATTTTCTATCACTCATTGATCATGGTGGTACTCACATGATTTACAGACTGATATATTTAGCTCTAAACTTGACCTTCCTTTTCTGTGTGCGTCATTTTTTACTCTGCACTGGTAATTTCCACTGTCATCAACAGATGCGAACGAAATTCGAATTCTATTAAAATCTTCATATATTTCGTACCTTGAGCTATCGTTGCTAATGATGATGTTGTCTTTTAACCACGTGACTTGTATCGGTGTAGATGGGTTAACATTGATGTTACTGCAAGTTAAGGTAAACGAGTTGCCTTCACATACAACGCTTGGAGATACAATGACTTCTGGTTTATCTAGATCTAATAAAAAAAATCAAATCAAGCTTCCGTTTAGTTTGCAAAATAGCACAAAGTGTGAAAGTTGTTTTTCCATTGAAGGGTGATTGTGTTATTGTTATTGTATTTATTATTATTATTTTAATTATTATTATTAGTAGTATTATTGTCAATATAATACTAATAATAATAATAATAGTTTATTCTTATATAGCACAAGCTCTTAATTCGCTTATTATTATTATTATTATTATTATTATTATTATTATTATTATTACTATTTACATGATTAAACTACAGGCTCAATATCGGTAATTAAAACTATTCTAGCACAATACATTTAGCAGCGATAAAGGGTCCAAAATGGCCAGGGGGTTATAAAAAAATAAAAGACATTTGAACCTCCATCCAGAATCATCTCGTGTTGGTTAGTTGATGATCAGATTAGCTACAGTTCTGTCGTCAGCTTTGTAACGCCCATTTACTTTATGTATAGAATCAATAACTATATTTACATCATTTCCTGAGTCATCAACTTCGTTCCACATTATAGTTTTCAGATTCCCTTCAACTGTTGATTACTTACACGGCATCGTAACTTGACTGGAGCCTTCTAGTACATTTGGTATCAACACGCCCTTAATAAGAGCTTTCCACTAACTGTCTCTTATACACATCTAGATGTGTATAAGAGACAGGTTCTGTATTATGCGTTATTTGTAAAGGTTCAGAGGAGCAGTCTGCGAGTGCAAAAATGTTGCCCCAACCGTTATTCTAACCTCATTCTTCACATTTATTTTCCAAATTAAATCTTCTCAAACTCACGGACATTAATTTATTTCAACATTCTATTTTTCCAAAGGTGGATCTGGGGGGGGGGGGGTCAGGGGTCCTGACCTCCCTTGGAAAAAAAATTTTAAAAAATTAAAAAATAAATAAAAAATCCCTGTGTACCGGTACACAAATAGGCCTATTTACTGTAATACAAAAGGGAAAAACCTTGAATTTTGATTAAAAGACACTTCAGAAGTCTGGAAAACTCATTTTTCGCCATCTAAGAACCAACATTTTCCTGGAGAGGACCCCCGACCACCATCTTATTTGGGGTTCATCGATTTATTGAAAAAAGAATATGTATGCAGCGACTCAATTTTTGTTATGTACTGTACATACACACATAGTAGGGCTACTAGTATTTACAGTAATAAGAATGAAAAGTTTACCCGAGGGAAAACCTTAAAATTTAAAGAACTTAAAAGTCATTAAAAGTCACCTCAGAAGTCGGGAAAGCTCATTTCCTGCCATCTAGTTTTCATTTTCTTCCCATGGAGGGCCCCTCGGACCCCTTCTTCTTTTGGGTTATCCATTTATGGAGAAAAGAATACGTAAGCAACTCAATTTTTTTTAAATGTACGTATACACACCTAAATAGGCCTATTTACTGTAATAAGAATGAGAAAGTTTACCTTACCGTTTTCAAGAGGGGGAAAACCTTGAAATTTGAAGAACTTAAAAGTGATTAAAAGACACCTCAAAATTCGGGAAAGCTCATTTCCGGCATTTAGTGATTAAAATTTTCCCGGACCCCTCTTCCTCTTTGGGGTTATCCATTCATGGAAAAAAAGAATACGTAAGCAACTTATTTTTTTTTATGTACGTATACACACATAAATAAATAGGCCTATTTACTGTAATAAGAATGAGAAAGTTTACCCGACTCATTTCCCGCCATCTAAGAAAAAAAAAATTTCGGGGGAGGACCCCCCACTCCTTTTTTTTTGGCGTTTTTATGAAAAAAAGTCGAACCCCCTCTAAATGTGAACCTATCAAATCATTCATGCAATATGTTTATTCCCAATTACTCTATTCACAATTACCCAAACGGATCTAGAACTCATATTCACATACCTTCCCACAACACTCATTAATTTCAGCATAACATTAAATATTCAGGAACTTCAATGATGAAGAATCTCCCTCTTCCAATTCTTAATGCTGTTTCTCTTAAAACATTCTCAATGAAAATCAAACTACACCTAATATCATACTAATAACTTATCATATCCTTAGTCATAATTCGATTTGTTCTGCTTTTAAATGAACTTCAGTTGTTATTTATTTACTTATTTGTAAATTTTTTATATTTATTTTTTATTTAATTAATTATTTATTTATTTATTTATTTATTGTTTTTTTCTTTGATTTCCTTTTTATGATTTTTCAACTTTCATTTCCTTTACGGCATGCCCAGCACAAGATCTTTATCTTCTTGGGATCATGCCTTCTTCCATAGATTGCTTTCGTCTTTATCTTATATCATATTGCATTGCATATTTTGTTGGTGTTATGGAAATAAATCAATGTCTTTTGAAATTGAAATGTAAAAAAAAATGCCTTAACCAACTGTGCTTTCGATAGTTTATTTGGAAGTTTGAATCTGACTGAGTCCAATTCATTTCGCAGTTTACAGTATGCCAATACAACACTAGTATTTGACGCACGTTTAATGTGATACGTCAGTTGAACCTACAAATATGAAAACGCCCACAATTGTAATAACGCCCACAATTGTAATAACGCCCACAAATGTAACAACAAATTTCAAAATAGTCGCCATATTTTTTTGCAATGATTATAGTTACGGAAAGAAATGGCAAGCAAATGTGTTTAAAATGTTTTGAGAACTTGACGAAAGTGAATTGCAGAAAGTATACCTCAGTCACATGCCCCATATATGTAAGTTAGCTTAAATTATTCACAATAGTTGGAAAAATATTTATAGGACATCTGTATCTTGACAACCACTGGTCGGGAGTTATTTTTTTTTTTCAAAATATTCATAGGCTACAGTACATGCATGTTTCTATTTCTTCCAATAAAATATATTTTGAAAATGACATAACCTTTGACACATAATATAATTCTAGAACCTTCGTTTAGAAAATCACTCGTCCACTGATTTTGTTGTTCACACGCCTTATAAATCAAACGCTCAAAATGTCATGCTTCTGTCACAAAATGCGCGGTTTTCCCGTTTTTGTGTCTTATCACCTACATTCGAATTTAAAACAAAATTACTACATTTTTGGGCGAAGAGGTCTTGTTTTGTTGTTACATTTGTGGGCGTTAACACATTTGTGGGCGTTATCACATTTGTGGGCGATGATCGTGATTGCATTTGTGGGCATTGTTTCTTACACTTGTAAGCGCTGGTTGTCACGTGTGTGGGCAATATTACATTTGTGGGCGTTTTCAAATTTGTGGGTGCAACAACACCCTCTTTTTTATTAAAAGAAATGTGACACGTTAGGACTAAGAGGTGGGTGTATGTGTGCGTGTGTATGTGATTATATCAAAATATACACCCACCGGTTGTATGTAATCCTTTGGAAATCTTATTCATAACACCCTTATTTGTATTTACAGTAATACTGTACTACATGTGTAATTCCCAAAATCTTTTTCAGATGTGTTAAGAATAACTAGTGTTGCTTTTCTTTCTTCTCCATACGAAAGGAATTTAGCTTTTGTAGTGTTGAGTTCACTGCCATCAAGAAACCATCTTACAATAGGTTCATTGTCTGGATAAATTCTAGACCAACTGCAGAAAGTTACACGTTTGTTCTTTTCCTTATTCCAATTTGTTGAAATAATAGAAGGATCCATAACTGTAACAGAAACAATTAAAATATCATAAATTTATAAGTCATTTTTCATTGTTTCCTAGATAATCAAAGTCTGAAGTCATCATCCTATTGATTTTATGTTTTATGAATTTTGAGACAATAAAAACAAAGTGAAAAGAAATTATTGTTTAAAAAAGAATGATGTAACCAATAATCTATACACTTACATCATATAATTTAATAAGAAGATGAAACTCAAGATGTGAATACGTTCTTCTCAACAACCTATTTTTCAGCATAAAATAGTTATAAAACAAAAATACCAAGCAGTGACAGGAAGTAATTAATTTACATATCAATAGGGCCTACTGTGTGGAGCCATTAGTGGAGCTAAGCAATAATTAGCCCTTCTTAGCAGATCAACTAGATAAACAGTTTGGCTTTGACTGAATCAGTTTGTTAAGTGTAGGTTCCAGTTCTTTAATCCAAAGCATTTCTTTGATTAAGCAATCAAACTTGGATTTGCACTTAGATAAAACCTTGAAATAATTAACAGTTTCAGTAGCACTAATATAATGATCTTTTAAATGTTGTCCTATGTTACCTTTACTGTGCTTATCAATGCGTTGATAAAGGTGTCGACAAGTGTAGCCGACATAGCTTGCATCGCACAAGCCACATTGAAATTTATAAATAACGCATTGTTCATTAACAATTTTAGGTTTACTTTCTTTCGATTTCAAGATTTCAGCTATCTTCCTGGTAGTGAATACTGGCAAAATTTCATTATTAATCTTACAGCTAAGCTGTTTAAGTTGTTTAGATACGGTGTTAGAACAAGTTTGCTTAATAAAAAAAAAATGCTTTGGATCAAAGAACTGGAACCTACACTTAACAAACAAACTGATTCAGTCAAAGCCAAACTGTTTATCTAGTTAATCTGCTAAGAAGGGCTAATTATTCCTTAGATCCACTAATGGCTCCACACAGTAGGCTCTATTGATATGTAAATTAATTACTTACTTCCTGTCACTGCTTGGTATATTTGTTTTTTGTTTTTTCAATTTACTTGATCTTGAGAATGGTTCCTTGATGGACCCGAAACGTCGATCTTTCTTGTCATTAAATTTTGTTTTGAAATTAAATAGTAAGCGTCTCTTAATTCGTAAAATAGTTATAGTATGATAATGTATAATAATCTACTCACAATATACAACTAAATAAGAAGTTGATGTCCATGATGTTGTTGCATCTTTATCAACAACCTGGCAAGTGTAATATCCTGAATCTTTTTTGGTTACATTTTTTATAATCAAATCTACGTAGTTTTGCTCAGAAAAATCGATGGAAAAGCGACCTTGAATTGGATACTTCAGGTTAACGATAGTATTGTTAGCGTGCGTGCCATTACCATTGAACCAGTTCACCGACCCTATACTTAAATTATCCTCGTTTGAAGGTGCTGGAATTTCTATTCGATTTCCCTCAATCACACAAACCTTGTTTTCATCCCCAGATGCTAAAGGAAGTAGATTGCATAAGATAATAATTATTTGAAAATAATCCTTTGCGAAAATTTAGATAAATATGCATTGATTTTGCAAATAAATGAATAGACACTATATAATATAGGTTTATGCTGCCAAAACATAGGCCTACACTTTAATAACCTTGATGATTTTTAGTTTCAGCTATCAATATTAATATTTGTAATATTATTTTTAATATCTTCAATTAATCCATCAATGTTAATATCTTGTTTATATCTCGATTCTTTTTTTTTCACTGTCGCAGCTATTATTTATTTACCAAATCTATATAGTGCACTTTTCATGAATATTCATGTTCAAGGCGCTTTACAAGATAGGAAAATAAAATTATAATACAAAAATTAATTTAGAAAAATATGGCATTATTACCGTATATACAAATTGTTTTAAATAATTGATTTAGAATATTTATTGAGAATAGTTATCGCAAAAATTCTTAATTAAAATGAGACAAGCTAATTATATAAAATGTAATAAAAACCTTAACCTACATTTCAAACTACAATATATTGAAAATCACAATATAAATAATACATATTATAAAAACAACTTAAATCCAGTGTTTGATTACAACAATATTCCTATCAATTTCTGAGGTACTGTAATATATTAATTCAGTAAAAAGAAATTAAGAAAAATATGACGTTAGTATATACAAATGAATTAATAATCGGTTTAAAAACTAAAATAAACTCAATTACCTCTGGACGTGATCACTGCTAATATCATATAACACACCAGAGTGTTCATGTCAGTAAACTGGATAAAGTTGCTATAATTATAAAGCATACATTTATATTAAACAATTATGGCGCTTACTGTGCAGTGATATGTCATATCATACACATTAAACTGCAGAATGTCTACTACTAATATATAATTTTGTTTTATATTTGTTCGTATATTCTCTTCCTACAACATATTTATGATTACTATTAGTTTTGCTTTCATTTGTATCTAACAAAAATCACTGCTATAATGAAAATAATATAGAACACTATTACAGATAGAGATAAACTTTCTTGCTCACATAATGACTGTGATGCTGTTTCCTTAACAGCACACTTCAGCAGTAATAAAGATAAAAGAAACAAAAAACGTAGACATAATTGCAATTTATATTTCCAACTTCGTATGTTTCAATTTTTATTTATTTTATTACTTTTCCAAATTTTTACATTTTCTTAAATTTTAATTACTATTTAATTAATACAGTAAAAAGAATTTAAGAAAAATATGAAGTTAGTATATACAAATGAATTATTAATTGGTTTAAAAACTAAAATAAAGTCAATTACCTCTGAGCGTGATCACTGCTAATATCATATAACACAGCAGAGTGTTCATGTCAGTAAACCGGATAAAGTTGATATAATTTTTTTAAAGTTGAATTATAAAGCATACATTTATATTAAACAATTATGGCGCTTACTGTGCAGTGATATGTCATATAATACACATTAAACTGCAGAATGTCTACTACTAATATTATAATCATGTTTTACATTTGTTCGTATATTCTCTTCCTACAACATATTTATGATTACTATTAGTTTTCCTTTCATTTGTATCTAAATAAAACCACTACTATAATGAAAATAATAGAGAACACTATTACAGATAGATAAAATTTATTGGTCACTTAATGACTGTGATGCAGTTTCCTTGAGCACAGTTCGGCAGTAATAAAGATAAAAGAAACCAAAAACATAGACATAATTGCAATTTATATTTTCAACTTCGTATGTACAGATGTTTTCAATTTTTAATTACTTTATTACTTTTCAAAATTTTTATATTTTCTTAAATTTTAATTACTAGTTTACCTAATGCTTTACGTGATACTTTCAACTTTGTACTGGGGCGTGAGACTTTACATCACTTCAGCCCCACCATGGCTGGAGCTGATGTAAGAACATTTTGAGAATATGGACCTTTGAGTACCTGTAAGATTCACTCTCATACCGGTATACATATCAACAATACAATACAACAATTATTTTTTGTTAATACAACTTTTTTTTCGTGCATTAAAAAAAATCCTTAAAATTGATTACCAGCGAATTTAAGGGTTTACGCATGCGCGAAGTTTTTTTTAATGAATAATTCATTAGGTATTTCCAGTGAATTTTTTTTTTATCGCGTTACAGTTGTCCCTCCCTCTCTCCCTCCCAAAAGAATATTTTGTCATTAACATTGCATAATGAAACTATTATTGTTTTCATTACATTTCTGCTGATTTCATATTATAAATACTGTTTGTATTTGCATTGCAAATTACTGCTATAAGTTCTTACTCTACTCCACTGATTCTTATGTTAATACAAATAAAGTTATAAATAATGTATGTCATCGTTATATGAATACATGCCAAAAACCCTATTAATAGGCCATGGGGTGAAAATCCTAACGTTCAGTCCCGTTCCGAAATTTTCAAAATACTTTCACTCATTATGATAATTATTATAATAATATTTAAAAGCACCAAAAAAAGTTCGACCGTCAGAACTTCTGCAAATACGAGAAAGTGACGTTTAAACTTACGAAAGTTCTTTGCGCTAGATTAGCACACGATATTTTGTAAACGTCACTATACTCGTTCGAAAATTGTATTTTTGATACGTAGTTTATTATTTGCGAACTTCGTATTACTGCTTTAAAAACAAATTTAAAAATTATAATTAGATATAGTTTGTATTTCAATTACAGAATAATATTTTTTAGTCTACTATTAACTTGATTTTGTTACAATAACTTCACGTGTTGTGGTACAGCCAACAACAGTAAACACAGCAACATGGCGACTAGCGGCGGACAGTGTGCCGGTGTTGTAATAAAGTGTTGTTTTCACCGCGAATGAAACTCCAATTCTAGTTACAGCACCAGATTCTTGAAGATTGTTACTTGTATCAAATTATGGATAGTTTTAGACAATCAAAACCGAAATATAGCTGACAAACTTGTGTCGGAACTAGAATATGCCTCTTGGATGAGGGAAAGACATACGAGGATTATGTGATAAGACAACATCCTTACTTTGGCTTCCACCCTGTTTGCTATCGTCGTTATATCGACACGAAATCGATAGCAATGATAAGTTATCATTACCAAGTGTAGTGTAGTCCCGTCAGTACCTTACCCAGACACATTGTATATATAAATATATATTAAAAATATATAATATAATATATTTAAAATATTCTTTAAAAAAGGGTGCTGACTGTGCAGGCCCTACCCCACTTAGCTTCGTGAGTGGACTTCCCGTACGATTGAAAATCGTAACGGTACTGGGTTTGGTCTACAGGAGTTCGTGCTTCGAATAGGTCATTCCATTCATAGAAAAAGCCTTTTGATGGAGAAAGTGTACCCTTTTAGCAAAGGTTTGCCTAGGTCGAAACTAACTCCGGCTATATAAAATTGATTATAAGATTGAAAAATAATAATCTTGTTATTGTAGTAGTGATAGATGTTATGTACATGTTTAATTATTGTTATTTATTCGTTAATGTCATTATATTTACATTTAAATTAATATATTGTTTAAGTATGAATTATTATGTTCATGTAAAAATTAATCTTATCAATTAAAACTGTATATTTAAAATAATAAGGCATAGTTTAATGGAGATCATCAAATGCGGTTGGACCGGGTGCAATCAAGACAGATGTCAGTGCAATAAAATGAACATAAAATACTCCGATCTTTGTCAATGTACAAACTGACAGAACAGAGATGATAAAGACACCATGAATGAAGATGCTCAATTTGCAGACGATGGATACCTAGACGAAATCTACATAGATGATTTGTTTGATTGAGATTTGATGTGTTTCTTATTTCATCATTATTATGTATAATATAGAAAATTAAAAAAGGTAACGTAGCCGTGTGACCCTTGAGAATGTAAGAGTATAATGTAACGGTGTAGCCCATGAATGTAAGAACTTTGGAACCATGAGATTTAACACACAGTGACACAGGAGTACATAAAGCATTATCTATTTTTATTTATTTTGTACAGGTATATTAAAAGAAAACTTTAAAAAGTATAATGTAACGGTGTAGCCCATGAGAATGCAAGAATTTGGAACCATGATATTTAACACACAGTGACACAGGAGTACAGTAGTATGGTGTGCTGGTATAACCCACTCTAGAGGGCGCTCAGGGAAGGGTGATGCTATGACGTCATTTAATCTATTCAATAAAGAACAAAAGACTAGTATACTTAATTGTTTACGTCATGATGCAGTGCCAGGTGTGTTGGATTATCTTTTGAAATTGAAAACAAAAGGTAGGTAAGGGATGCTAATGACATCATTTAATCTCTTTTATTTTAGAAAATTGGATAAGAGTGACGCTACTGACGTCATTTAATCCTTTTCAATAAAGAACAAAAGACTAGTATACTTAATTAAAATAATTAAAATAATAATAATAATAGGTAAATAAAGAAAAAATATTTGAGTTGTTTACGTCATGATGCAGTGCCAGGTGTGTTGGATAATCTTTTGAAAATGAAAACAATGGAATTTAAAAGTGTAAACAAAAGCTAGGTAAGGGATGCTAATGACATCATTTAATCTCTTATTTTAGAACAATAGGATTAGCGGTGTCTTTAATAGGTTTAAACTTCTTGACGAGCATGAATTTCTATTGGATGAGAGATTTCAGTGACTATGCGGTGACATGATAGTTTGAATAGCCCGTTCCTGACGTCATGTAATGCTTTTATTCCTGTAGTGTTTCAATTAAATAAAATAAAAATATATTTTTACTTTAACAATAAAAAACAAAAGAAATACGAATAGATATTCTGACGTCATGTTCTCTTTCTGATTGTGTAGTGTATATATTTTTGTAAAAAATAGGGTAGAGGTATCAGTTTAGTTTCTTTAACTTTATCGATACAACTTTCTTCTCTCTCGTCTGCTTGATTCAGATACAAAATTCTGTTAGAATGGATTTCTACAAGCCTATCACCGATTACACCGATTCCAAGCTTGTTGAGAAGGCTAAGGCTACTATGCGACGTGTTATGCAGCCTAACAAAAAGCAGAAAGTTGAAACCGAACCTAACGATAGCGCCTCGTTCACTCCAAAATATATGTCTATTCCTGTTATAGAGAGTAGACCTATGGTTTCTATGAATGAACCAATGAAGAACATGCAAGGTGCAATGGATCGAAAAACTGTTACCGCAAACCAACGTATTCACCTAACAGACGAAAGACACGTTGTTGTTCAGCTCTGGGGGACTGAGTACTTTGTATGTATAAGGGACTTCTATATGACGGAAGAAAACGGTTTCTTTAAACCTTGTAAAAAAGGGATTAATCTTCCTCTCAAGCAATGGTACGAAATGCTACAAAGGACAAAAGAAATCGAAGAAATGATAAGTGAAGTTTATGGAAAATTAGTGAATGAAACAATGAAGGGACCCTTAACACTGTTTCTACTACATCTACCAAGCGTATATTTCTTACAGAAAACAGGCACGTTATTGTTCAGAGGTGGTATTCCCGATTGTTCGTTTGTATCAGAGAGTATTATAAGACGAAAGAAAACGGTGACTATAAACCAGGCAGAAAGGGGATTAATCTTCCCCTCTATCAATGGTTTGAAATGTTGAAAAGAGCTAATAAAATTGAAGACATGGTACGTGAAATTAAGGGTCACGATTACTGCGGTATAGGAAGGGATGAAAATGACAATGGTAAACATCCTGACCAAATAATGGGTTTTAAAAGACCCGAATCGAACAATGAGAACAACTATAGCAATTGGCTAAGCCAACCTGAAAAAGATGATGACGAAGATTGCGATTGTGATTGTAAAGATACTTATTGTTGAAATCATCCAAGAACTGTATATAAACTTGCTGGAAAAAAATTGAAAACTTCATTTGAAACTTTCTACTACCGACTTACAGCCAACTTTTCCAGTCTACCAAAACTTCTAGTATTATTTACTTTATCATGGCCTGCTTGAACAACTCTGTTATTGCTGACGATATTCCAGTCATTGAGTTAACTTTATTTGAAGAAAAAGAAATACCAATGATTGATCTGACAAATTTTGCAGATGATGAACACTTACCGGCTAACAACCCGCTTGTTATCGACTTAACTGATATTGATAAAGACATTACCATGAACAATTTACCAT